TTTTTTTATTATCTGGGATAACATTGTGAAATTCTCTCTCACTATTTCTCTCATTCAGGTTGGCAAATAAAGGACAGGAAGGAGAGAGCTGGAAGTTTTATTTCAAGCTCTTCTGTTTCTCAGAGCCTGAGAGCGTTCCAGCTGACAGTGTGGAGTTTGCATTCATGTTTGAGCAGGTTTGATCTGGCCTCAAATCACATAAAAATAGGGCTTTCGATCAGTTAAAATTGCATTCATTTAATTAATCGTATTAATTGTTTAATCACATACACATATACATTACATTGTGTCAGCTGAAAAAATTTTTAGTAATTACAAAAAGTGGCTTTAAAAGTCACTAATACTATATTTCTATTTTTGATGCGTGTGCATATGCAAACAAATGCGTTTTCTCACTGTTTTTAGAATCTTACATTTATAGCACCACATTTATTAATATGATGCTTCATGACTGTAACAAATGTATCATGAGTTCCCTGCATTCTGTTCTATTCTGTTCGTTACACAGAAATACACACTTAAAGGGATAGTTCACCCAAATGAAAATTCTGTCAGTCACCTTCAAGTTGTTCAGAACCTGTATGAGTCTCTTTCTTCTGTTGAGCACAAAAGAAGATATTTTGAAGAAAGTTGGTAACCAAAAAGTGCACAGTAGCCATTGACTTCCATAGTATTTTTTCCATACTATGGAAGTAAATGACTACCGACAACTGTTGAGCAACTTTTGTGGTCAACAGAAGAAAAAACTCATACAGGCTTGGAATAACTTCAGGGTGAGTTCATGCTGACAGATTTTTCATTTTTGGGTGAACTACCCTTTAAGTATGCATGTACATAGTTTTTAATAATGAATCTAACAGATCTTTAGACTGATTTCTTTGCTGTCAGTGTTTCACAGATGCAATTTCAATGTCTCTCTCTTTCTCCCTCAGGCCCATGAAGCTGTCATTAGAGGTCAGTATCCCGCTCCAGAAGAGACTTTGCAATTTCTGGCTGCTCTTCGGCTTCAGTATCTGTTGGGAGACTACACTACCCAGAGTGCCTTGCCTGAGTTGGAGCAGGTGTTCCCTATGGACCGCCTGCGTGCTCGAGTACAGCAATCCGCACAGTGCTTTGCATCTGCCACGCCATCCACAGAAAGAAAGAGGGGTAGTTTTCTGGAAGGCACGCTGAGGCGGAGCTTCCGAGGGTCACTGGGGCGACAGCGACAAGGGGAGGGGCCTGCAGCCATAGAGGCGTGGCTGCAAGATGAGAAGGCGGGGCTGAGAAGTTGTTTGGTGGAGAAATGGCGTAAACTGCGGGGGATGGAACAGGACCAAGCCATGAAAAAATACATGAGTCTCATCAAGGAGTGGCAGGGATATGGATCAACACTGTTTGATGTGGAGGTGAGCACACACACACACACACACACACACACACACACACACACATGATCCATCAGCAAAGCAGTGTCGCTGAAGAAGTTCTCTCTGTTCATCAGTGTGTAGACGGTGTGTATCCTGGAGAGCTGTGGTTGGGCGTGAGTCGTAAGGGGGTGTGTTTGTACAAACGTGGGGAGGCGTGGCCTCTGGAGCTATTTCCCTACGAGGTCATTCTGTCCTTTGGTGCACCGCAGCCAAACATCTACAAGATCAGCGTGGAGGGACGAGAGCTGCTCTTCAACACCAACATGGTACAAACTTTCCATATTTACTTGCATGCTTCCACAGCAAACAACCCTAAAATTCGTCATTTATATTAACTTGTTGCCTCATCGGTCAAATCTTCCACAAACTTCCACTGTGGATCATTTTAGATGGAAATGACCTATTCAGTGAATTAACTCGAGACTCACTCCAACCGAATCAATCTACTCATCAGTGAGTTTTTAGCTCGGGAATTGCAGCTAAAATCAGTCCATTCGTGAAGGAATCATTCAGGGGCAGTTTGTAAGATCAGTTTAACGGGTTCATTGAAAAACAAATCTGCTCAAAAATTATTCATCATGAATCAGACAAAACTATCATGTCTCAAGAGTGATGGAATGGCATTTTTTTAAATGTAGTGGAATAAAAATAAGATCTAATGCATACAAATGCAGTAAAGTGTTTCCCAAAATAAAAATGATACAAATACTTGAAAAATGTTCAGTAATAGACTAAACACTCCTGACAGTTACTTCAGAAAATATTAAAAAACAGTCATTGTATTTTTTTATTTATCTGTTTGTTTGTTTATTTTTTGGTCATTATGAAGGCCTGAATGTTCATGTTTCTTCCAGGATTATTTTTAACTAAAACCATAAAAACATTGTTACATTTTTTTTTTTTTAAATGTGTTTATAAAAAAATGTGTTAAATAAAACAGACATTGACTGAAATAAAATACATAAATGTAACATTTTATTTTAGATAGTTGCAAGAGCAACATTTCTCACTTTTGTTCAGTTTAACTTAAAATAACTATAAAATAAAAAAATATATAAAAAATAAATTATAAAAACACAACTAAATGACAATAAAAATAAATAAAATATATATATATAAAAATTAAAACATTCTAAACATTCATAAAAACTATAACAGTATATAAATTATGCTAAAATAACACTGCATTCCTTTGTGTTTGTCTCTGTAGGTGATGGACATTGCAAAGCTCATGAAGGCGTACATCAGTCTAATAGTGAAGAAACGTTTCAGCACTTGTCAATCCATCAGCAGCCACGGCAGCAACTGGTGATCTCTCAGTCCTGACAAACACTTCAAATAAATGTGCCTTTTTTGAGGTTAAGCATCAGCAAATCGGACAGTTTAGTTACGAATTCACAAAAAAGTGACCCTTCAATGCTGAGTGCAAAAAAACAAAGACAATATCATGAGACACTTTCACGACAGACACTACCATGTTCCCACAGACACACATTGAGTTGTTGTGCTTGAAACTGTGCCACACATACATGTCTGTTCACTGAGCCCCATATTTTACATTGTATTAACATTTTAAGTCCAGTCCAGTTGCATTTCTTTGGAATTCTGCAGGCAGAAAGTCCAGTCCAAAATAACCAGCACTCAAATCCAGTGCCTTTAAAAAACACACACAGAAATATACACACATGTGCAAACACACACAGAGTGCCCTTTACGTCTGTTTTATATGTGCAATGTTTATAATGTATGTTATATATTTCTGAGGAGCTGTATATTTTATAAACCTTTTCTGTTGAACTGCAGGATTGTGATAATACTATTGGATTTACTCCCTCTGGTCCTGTTATTTTTCTACTGTAAGCCGATAAAAACACTAAAACAACAGGAAAATCTTTCTCATTTTGTATCTTTACTGTGCATTCGTTTATAGGCAATAAATATAACAAAATTCAAAGACTCTTACATTCATTACAATGTTCATCCTCGTTTGCTCTGTGCAGTGCAGAACGGGTTTCTCTGACAGAAGAACTTCTCATTTAACACTTTTTACATCTCTGGGACAACTGAATGAAATCTTTTGTAGGCTATGCTAATCAGCTAGCACGAACGCTGGAAGGCTGTAATCAGAAGTCATGAACGCTGGTCAAGTTTCAAGGACAGAATCGCAATGTGCCCAGATGGAATTAGTGAACTTTTTAGTATTCCTGTGATGATTTGCATTTTCGGTGTAGACTTGAGCTGCTTAGGAAGATTTTTAATGTGCTTACAATGTTAAAAATATTTGTAATTATTTCACTCCTAACATTTTCTATTACATTTATATGTCTTAGTAAGCTTCTGAAATCGCTCATCCAGGGCTTGGTATCTTAAGGGCACAATGGTTAAAATGCTTACCAGCATCACAATATCTAACCACCAACTCCATTTCTTCATGAATTTTGTTCGAGTCTAGACTAAGTTCAAAGTCAGTTAGTTTTTTTGCTGTAATATACGCAACATGCGATGTAGGGCACTTAAGCATTGACAGATGGCAGTGTGTAAGATCTTGCTGAGGGTCATTTAAAATCAGGTGGGAATAGAATAAATTGACACGGATGCTTACAACAGAATCCACTGCAGCAAAAGTTAATGTTTGTTCAACTTTTGCAATCCTTTGAGTTTCTCCACTAGTCTTCACTAGAAGTCTTTCGTTTTCAATGTCGAGTAGTACAGGAGCTGTGTGGCGTTCTGACTGTATGCAGAATATTCAGATCCAATTTGAGCTTCGGACGTGTTGAAATTTTTCAACTTTTGCATCTAGAGCACACGAGACCGCCTGTCCAACCACCCACAATACCCATTGTGGTGGCAAGTTTTACACAGACGAACACTACTGACATTTCCCAAAATATTTAAAAAAAAAAAAAAAAAAATTCTTCTTCTTCTCTTCATTTTATGGAAGCCCAAAAAGGTAATTGCAACTCAGACCCTTTTACACTACTGACATTTCCCAAAATATTTAAATTAAAAAAAAAAAAAATTCTTCTTCTTCTCTTCATTTTATGGAAGCCCAAAAAGGTAATTGCAACTCACAATTCAGACCCTTTTTCTTGCAATCCTGAGTTTATATCTCACAATTCTGAGTTTTTTTTTTCTCACAATTTGCGATTTATTTTTTAAAATTATTTGATAAACTCGCAATTCTGAGAACAAAAGTCTGAATTGGGAGATGTAAATTTGTAATTTGAAAGTTAAATATCAGAATTGTGACGTTGCAATACCTTTTTATTGTTTATTTCGTGGTGGAAACAAAAAACAGAATTGCGAGACGTAAACTCAGAATTCAGAGGGAAAACTCAGTACTGCGAGAAGAAGAACAAGTGAATTCTGGGTTTGTCTCGCAATTCTGAACTGAGACAAAAAGTCGCAATTACCATTTTTATTTTTTATTCTGTGACGGAAACGGGCTTCCATAGCATTTCACCTCTGCTTTAGCTTGTTTCCTAATCTAGCTTTCTAATAAACCTGCCATATGTCAATATTGTTGGCTCTATGACAAATTGCTTATGCTCTGCCATTGTAAGTCTCTTTGGATAAAAGCGTCTGCTAGATGCATAAACCTAAATAATTTTTTGGTATTTAATTTTTTTTTTACATTTCTCAACGACTTTTGCTACCCCTTTGCAAATTTTCTATACTACTTACTTGTGAAATCAATGTTTTCAGCAGCGTTGTCGTTATCGGTGCTCATTTGTTTTGTATGGATATGCATTCATTTATTTTTTTTTACCATGGTGAATAAGCAAGGGTAACTGCTGCTTCACAACCAATTTGAAAATACCATGCGGCTGCCACAAGGAACAAAATGTAACGATCGCACGCGTATGTCTGGGTCTGAGATAGTGGAAATGGGACTTAATGTGAAAAGGCCTGTAACTGTGGTACCTCTACATTATGGCAGATGAAGCGTAATGAACAGAAGCTGTGATAAGCTGTAGTTTATCAGTACTGAAATTATTAAAAACCTGAACATAAAAACAGTTCATTCATTCGTCTAACAGCAGTAATACATTTTGTGTGCATTATAATTTTTTTATAAGTCTGTGTGTGTGCGGAGAGCTTTGCAGTCTTACTTCGATGCTCAAAGGCTGAACTTCAGGCTGGAAACACCTGTTCAGTTTGCAGTACAACATCATTCTGTATTCAATTCAGTTTGTGTATCTTCTAAAGTGGTTTTCTAGTAAGGCTCCTCCCAACACAGAGGCTCCTCCCACTAGTTAGCCACTCCCACAAAGGATGTTCGATTGCTCCCTAAATGAGTTTAATTTGGTGTCAAACTGACGTGACCCTAACGACCAGCTCGCCTGAGCCTTGCTCCTGCGGTGAGAGGTCAGAGGTCACGTTCAGGCACATGGAGAGGAGGCGAAGGGGGCATCGAGGCGATGACTCCAGTCGGGTGGTTTGTGAGTGTGTGTTGGAGACTGTATGTGTGTGTGTGAGAGGCAGCCACAGGTTACGGTGCGGGCTGTGTGTGTTCTCCAGGTCTCGGCTTTTATCGTAGTTCTGGACGTCCCAGAAGAGATTAACAGCTCGCCAGCGCATCAGCACATTGTACACAGCACCACCTTCATGAACAATCAGACCTGAAACACAAACGTATTATTTGCACATGTAAACACACTTTTAGTAGGGCTGGGTATTGAAATGGATTTCACGATTCAACTAGCTCGATTACGATTTAAATTCAATTTGATATTGATTTATTTCTTTGTATGTATATAGTAGAATACATATACATTTTTCTTAAGGTAAAAAATCTATCTAACCCTTTCAGTTGGTACATTACTATAATATTAAAGGATAAAATTAACAACAGTTTAAATTATTACATTTAATTGCTATTTATTTTTTGGATATAATAATCAACACTATATACACAAACATTTAAATTGGGCAATTTTTATATTTAATGATAAAATTAAACGTATCTTTCATCAATTAAATATTTACTCCAATTACACTGAAGAAATATAAACATTTAAACTAGTGGCTATCATAAAAACAAACATACATTAAATATCATTAACAGGTTAAGTACAAATATAAAGATACAGTATCTCACAGAAGTGAGTACACCCCTCACATTTTTGTAAATATTTTATTATATCTTTTCATGTGACAACACTGACACCATGATGTTCACACAGCTCCGTGATGTCGTCATGGAGGAGTGGAAGAGGACTCCAGTGGCAACCTGTGAAGCTCTGGTGAACTCCATGCCCAAGAGGGTTACGGCAGTGCTGGAAAATAATGGTGGCCACACAAAATATTGACACTTTGGGCCCAATTTGAACATTTTCACTTAGGGGTGTACTCACTTTTGTGGCCAGCGGTTTAGACATTAATGGCTGTGTGTTGAGTTATTTTGAGGGGACAGCAAATTTACACTGTTATACAAGCTGTACACTCACTACTTTACATTGTAGCAAAGTGTAATTTCTTTAGTGTTGTCACATGAAAAGATATAATAAAATATTTACAAAAATGTGAGGGGTGTACTCACTTCTGTGAGATACTGTATATAATATAGTGCATATATTTTTCAAATGCTCTCTATAGAGTTTGTTCCCTAACAATCAAGCTATGGACATAAAAGGCTTCTCTGAGGTAAATGTAACATTACGTGACATTGTTTACAAGCTGTTACTTGACATCTTTCCACGGTTGAAATGCTGATTGAGCGATTCATGAGACACGATACATTTCAGTAAGTTTAAACATACCTTCTGCTGTTCATTCGTGAAATAAGAGGAAAGAAACGTTCCGCTTAAACTTGGGCGGCTGCAGAGATTAGAGTGCCAAAACAACATGTATTGTTTGGATTTCGTTATATAATTGATCGAATTTGAAAGATGGTACTTTGTTTCAAATCAAAAGTAAGAAAGCACAAAACTTAGAGCGATTATTAGATGGGAGGTGCTACAAATACATTTTAATACCATTTTATCGCCATTTTAACGCATCAAATAAAAACAGTATAGACAACCCTGATAGCACACGTACATCACGAAGATGTGACGTCTGCATTTACATCTGCAAGAGGATTTTTTTTTTTTTTAGAGTATTTGCTCATCTGCAATATGACTATAGGACATTTCCTATCAAATGTGACCCTGGACCACAAAACCAGTCATAAGGGTCAATTTTCTGAAATTGAGATTTATATATCATCTGAAATCTGAATAAATAAGCTTTCCATTGATGTATGGTTTGTTATTATAGGACAATATTTGGCCGAGATACAACTATTAGAAAATCTGGAATCTGAGGGTGCAAAAAAATCAAAATACTGAGAAAATCGCTTTTAAAGTTGTCCAAATGAAGTTCTTAGCAATGCATATTACTAATAAAAATTCAAGTTTTGATATAGCCTATTTACGGTAAGAAATGTACAAAATATTTTCATGAAACATGATCTTTACTTAATATCCTAATGTTTTTTGACATAAAAAAATCGATAGTTTTGACCCATACAATGTTCTTTGGCTATTGCTAAAAATATACCCCAGCGACTTAAAGGGGTCATATGATGCGATTTAAATTTTTCCTTTCTCTTTGGAGTGTTACAAGCTCTTGGTGCAAAAAGAAGATCTGTAAAGTTGCAAACACTAAAGTCTCAAAACCAAAGAGATATTCTTTATAAAAGTGAAGAGTCATGGATGCAACAAATGCCTCGTTTGTAATGGGTTTTATGTTTTTGTCTCGTCGCTCCGGCCGGGACACGGCATCAACAGTATGTGAGGGGCGTAACATTTCCGTCTCACGCTTGAGGTATTCGGCCAATCACAACGCACTGGATAGCTGGCCAATCACAGCACACCTCGCTTTTTCAGACCGATGAGCTTTGTAAAAATCGACGCGTTTCAAAAAGGCGGGGCATAGAGGAGAAACAATAATGTACAGTATGTGGAAAATAATGTGTTTTGAACTTTAAACCGCATAAACACATTTCATTACAGCAAATACACAAAATAATGTTCTTTTTAGCAGCATCATATGACCCCTTTAAGACTGGTTTTGTGGTCCAGGGTCACAAATGTCAAATAGACGTTTATTAGATGTCTTTAAGATGTTTATGATATAGAATGTAAAACTGAGATCTTACAGACATCTGTCAGATGTTTGAACATAGCATGTGCTTTCCAGATCAAGCGATCTTTACCAGAAATCTTGCAGACGTACGTGCTATCTGGGAAGATCGATCTTGGGATTTAAGAATTGACATCAGTTTATCGAAATGAAGATTGATTAAAATCAATTCATTGATATTGTCGACCCAGCCCTACTTTACATGGTATTTTAAGATTTGTCAGCCATAGTTAAACCCTAGTACCCGCAAAATATGCATATTAGCTTGAAATTGCGTTGTATAGGACTAATGTGGTTTGAGTGCATAAATGTGTCTCACCGATACACACAAGGTCCATGACTGCATACATGCCGTAGCAGATCTGGAACAGGATGTCACTGCGTTGCCATAGTGCCTCTGGGCTCAGTGCTGACCACAGCAGCCATGATACACTGGCCAACAGGAAGATGCCACCCAGCAACACTGCAATAACCTGAACCTTCTCCACCAGAGTCATGGTGACAGTCTGCCACTGGTAAAACATACAAACACGGTCACCAATTCGTGCCACAGACTGAGACTAAACGCTAAAGTACACTACACGACTTCAAATGAACAGATTTTAAAACACCTGGCATCATACACTTTGTAAATGGTCACAGAGAAAAACACTAAACGACTGAGTCATGAAATGCATTACAGCCTTAATATGATCACAAATGCGATAAAAATGCTGTTTTTAATTTAAAATCCAGTCACCATGGGTGACAGTCAAAAACAACAACAAACAAAGCACAAGCTGTGGTGTCTGATTTGCAAACAAATGACTCTGATCAAGTTAATTTTATTGAGTCAGTCAAAACAAAATAGCCAAACTACGACTATAACGATAACGAAACCTAGTAGCGATGTTATTGGAATCATTTTAGAATCACTTTTTTTCCTGCTGATGAATGATAAAAACATTGACAGAGCTTGAGCATTTAAAGCAGCAGACAAAACTGCATTACAAGCCTATAATAAACAGAACACTAGAGTCTGTTGGTATGGACACTAATATAGTTATTGTTACAGTTATCTTTATAATTTTTGGTGTGAACAGGACTTGACCTATTCAGTAAGTGAAATGTTCAGAGCCATTACTGACTCCCTCACTGAATCATGAATCGTTAGTGTGATGTACACAATACATTAGACTTACGTTTTTCATTATGTTGTTTTTTTAAACAGCCATAAATATTCTTACGAGTAACATTTATATGGCACAAATACAATTTGAATCACTAGAGTGACAGCTTCAAATGGGAACTAAAGCACATCTGAATAACAATTAAATGTAATTTGTAACTGTAGTTGGCTCTTAAATGCTTCATTTTTAGAGTCATGTTCTTAGTTCAAAGCCCTGACCGATATATCATATATCTCAGTGTGTGTGTGTGTGTGTTTGTGTTTGTTTACCTGTTGTGGTGGTTTGATATATATAGGCAGGATGTTGAATCTATAGTTGCAGAGTTCACAGCTCCAGGAGCCCTTCTCACTGATCCACTTGAGCAGACACTGCTGATGAGCGTGTCGGACAGATCCGGCACAGCGGCACGGGCTCAGCAGCTCCCCCTACAGCCAATCACAACACACACACCGACATGTCAATCAGCCAATCAAAAAACAAAAAAGATAAAAGACAGATTCAGCTGAGCTGATGATTCACTGCTGTATGATTGTTTTATTGTACGCATTTGCAGATGAGTTGAGCGTTGAGGTTGTGGAACCTTGAACAATGGGGCAGATGAGCTGTTTCGTCTAAATGAGGAGAACATTTGGAGTGAATGAAACACTATACACATAGAGACAGAGATTCATCTCTGTGAGTGGACGGGAAATGATTCATCAGTGCATTCATGAATAATTTCAGAAACATCCTCATTTAGAACTATTATGAGTCTGAAAGAGTGGAACACATTCACACACACTTACAGACACACAAACACAAGGCGCCTCGAGGAAGCACATTAGCAGCAGGAAGTGAAGAGCATTAGACATGAATGGCGCAGCAGGTATTCTAATGGATCTCACCATTTCTCACACACACACCACACTGTCTGTTTAAAGCATTAAGAATCATTGAGGTTTCCGATATTCTAATAATTGCATTAATTATGTAGGCCTATAATAAATGTAAAAGGTGTTTACAAGGTTTATATTTTTCAGACTGTCCTAACACAGCTGGATTTATGAACTGCTTTGACTGACGTAGGACCAACATCAGGATGGGACAACCAAATTTAGAATTCGATTACTGGCCTCGCACCAGACTTTATCTCAAAAAGGACTCTCAGGTTCTCCAATTCTTCTGTTTTAACTGAATCACAAAGTATAGAAATAAAAGATTTGGTGATGCTGCTTTCAGCCATTATACTCCATGCTGCTGGAACAAGCTTCTGGAGAGTATGAGATGTGCAGAAAATATTTAGTTTTAAATCAAAATTACTTTTTAGCCTGGCTTTCTTGTAATGTCTTATAACACTGAATTATTACTTTCATGATTTTAGTACTTGTTTTTTTATCATTATTTTTCTCTTTATTCATATCCAAGTTTTGTTTTATTTATTTATTTTTTTTATTTTATAGTTACCTGTTACTTGTTTATAGTTATACCTTTTGTCTGTCAAAAGCACTCTGAACTGCACTGGTTTGTTTGAAAATATATATTTTTAAATGTGATTGATTGATTGATTGATTGATTGATTGATTGATTGATTAACCAACAGGAAGCTGAAACTGAATTGAGAATTTACTGAACTTGTAATTCAAATAAATTCAACACAGGTAGAGCATTGTAGGAAATGAATTTCTGCTCCACAAAACTTAATTTATTGAAAAAGATGAAACATAAAAACCAAATTACTATATTAGGTACATTTTTAATTGTTTAATATATAACACTACATATTTAGAAATATACAATATATTATAAATTATGCAAAATATATAATTACAGTTATGTACATTTTATTTCA